AGTGCACAGCTCAGTAGTGTTAAGTATATGCATATTATTATGCAACAGATCGCTAGAAATTTTTCATCTTGCAAAACCGAAACTATATATGTTAAACACTAATTCCCACTCTCCCTTCCCCCAGTCCTTGGCAACCACCTTTCTACTTTCTGTTGCTTTGATTGTGACTAGTTTCAATACTTAATATGAGTCAAATAATACAGGATTTGTCCTTCTGTAACTGGCTTATTTCACTTGGTATAATGTCTTTGAAGTTCACCCGTGTTGTAGCCTGTTTCCTTCTTTTTCAAGGCTGCATAATATTCCATCATAAATGTATACACCCTCTTTTCTTTATATATTCATCTGCCATAGGTTGCTTCTACCTCTTGGCTATTGTGAATAATGCTATAATAAACATGGGAGTGCAGATGTTACTTCAATAAGTTGATATCATTTCCTTTGGATATATACCCAGTAGTAGGATTATGGGATCATATAATAGTTCTGTTTGTAATTTTTTGAGAAAACTTTTGATAGTTGCCATCCTAATGGGTATGAGGTAATATCTCATTGTGGTTTGGATTTTCATTTCTCTAATGATAAGTGATGTTGAGCATCTTTTCATATATGCTTGTTGGCCATTTGTATAACTTTTTTGGAGAAGTGTCTGCTCAAGTCTTTTGCCCACTTTTAATTGGATCATCTTTGTTGTTGTTGATTTGCAAATATTCTCTCTCACTCCATAGGTTGCCTTTTCACTCTGATACTGTTTCATTTGATGTCAATAAATTTTTAAATTTGAGGAGTCTCATTTGTCTATTTTTCCTTTTGTTGCCTATGCTTTTGGTGTCACATCCAAGAAATTATTGCCAAATCCAATGTCCTGGACCTTTTCTCCTATGTTTTCTTCTAGGAATTTTATAGTTTTAGGTCTATGTCTGGGTCTTTAATCCATTTAAAGTATTCTGAGTTATTTGTATGTGGTATGGGGTAATGGTCCAACTTCATTCTTTAGCACAGCTATGATAAACGTTATGTCCAAGCCTTTGGTTGCATCCTAAACTTACCAATTGTCATTCTGAGAAAGATCTGGTTTATTTTGTCATGCCTTCCTTTTTTCTTTCTAAGTGTCTTTTCCTGCTTTGACTTTTATTTCCTCCTTGTAAAAATGTTAACGGTCTGGTTTCTATTTTTTTCAAATTATCCACAACAGGAGGGATTTGTGTATACTAGACTCAAGTTTTGCAGTTGAAGAAAATGTATACAAATATAATACTAATAATAAATAGTAGTAGCAGTAGAATGACTGATATAATCCACAGGGATTTCTCAGTGGAGCATTCCTTTTCAAGGAAGTTTTAGTTCTTCAACACAGAAGGTTTTTTTTCAAAATGTGTTAAATATGTTCTATAGAAACACCTTTTATGGAATATAGTTCCAGGTACCATTGGCCTATGAAAATACCAGTTTCACAAGGTTTGACATGATACATTCATGAAGGACGTGTATCCATCATCATCATCAGCAGCAGCAGCAGCAACATCCATCAATAGTTAGTTTTTATTAAGAATTGACTATGCACCAACATTATGTTAAGTACCTGACATGCTTCATTATTTTACCTCTTAGCAACTCTCCTGCTCATCCTGGAAAAGGTTCAAGCAAATGATTCAATATCTAATGGAGGAAGATTGCCTCCATAAGTGTCACTGCCCTTTAAAGCTGGATTCTGTTCATTGAAAGCCCATTTTGTTCTGCTGAGTGTTTCTCTGTGTTTGGGATATGCAATGATGGGACTGCATCTCAGTTTGAGGGTAAGATCTGGAAATATTTTTGTGAGGTTGATTGAGGGAGAAGAATTGGGAGTTCCTTAGGGTAATAGGGCAGGGGATAATTCAGCAAGATGGAAGGGGTGGTGGTGAGAAGAAGGAATCAGCAGATGACAAATGTCCAAGACCTCAAGAGGTAATGGAACAGATCCTAGTGATTTGGAGGTCAAAGCAAATGAGGAAGTTGTATCCAGTACTTCATGGAACAGTTAGTTTAAAAGATCTATCGCTAATTAATAATTTCTAGATAAGTTTAAATTATTTTCAGAAGAAATAATTAGATGAAATATGTAGAGCAGTGTTTACTGATTTATTTATAATAGTTATAAGTAGCTATAGGCTCAGGAAGACATAATGTTTAAGTGAATCATGATACATTCATATGGTGAAATATTATGGAGCCTATAAAAAAGACATTTCTAAGCATAGTTAATAAAACAGGAAAATGCTCACAATACAATGTTGAGTGGGAAAAGTAGAACACTAAATTGTGTATTCAGAATGAGCCAAATTATAATGGACAGGAAAAACGGAAAGCTAAATCATACCAAAATATTGACAGATTCATTCTAGGTTACAAAGTTATGAGATTATTTCTTCATTTCATTTGCCTATAGTTACTAAATTTTCTACAATAAATGTCTCACTTCTTTAAAATTATAGTTTTAGAATTTAATTCATAGCGTCTTATTTTAATTTAACTTTTTAATAATGCAAAATTCATATTTGGAGAACATATTAGTAATTAATAAATATTATAATAATGGAATAGAGAAGCATCAAGTATAAAGAAGCTCAGATTTTAGCAACTATCAGAAATTGGTCATCATTCTCAGTGCTGACCTAGATTTTCCCTCAAAATGTACCACACTTGAGATTTATGGACAAAATGAATTTCTAGTATGATTTAAATTTTATAAGATTCCAGGGGGCCTTTTTTGAATTCCATTTTGTATACTAATCTAAACAATATAGAACATTTTATTATGCTTATTTGGTTTTTGTTTTCTGTTTATTTGTTCGCACTCCCAAAAGCCCATATAAAACAGAAACTTAAAGGCCCTGATATACAGTTAACCAAATATAAAGGGGTTGACCTGGTCTCAGTTTATCCACAGTCAATTTATGAGCACGTATCCCTATCATCATTAATTCATTCATATTCTCAGCAAAATATTTATAAATCACGTTTTTTAAACAAGCACATTCTGTGCTAAGTGCTAAGGATACAAAAATGAATAAGACGTGGTCTCAACTTTCAAGGGGCCATAATACAAGTGAGAACAATAGTTATGGAAACAACTAACAAAACTCGAACAACTAGGTGCTGTAGTAGAGATACAAACAGAAGTGGTTTCAGAGAATGTGATGAGAATGTATTATGAACCCACTTCATCTCAAATTAATTAAAACAATAATTTCAGGATTCTGAAATTATGCAACTACTGCTTATCGACCTCTAAGATGCATAGAGAGAGAGAATATGTAAGTAGAAAAAAGCAAACTAATTTTCTAAAGACTTTACTGCATCATTCAACCCAGAGTTCTGGGGATCTTCAGGCTTTGAACCACCTTGAATTGGGGAAGTGGTTTTTGTTTGCAGCATGTCAGCTCCCTGTACTGTGGCATCGGCCATGAGCATTCTGTACAAGACAGAACAACAGACAGCTCCACGAATTTCTTCCATACGTGTATTTATGAAGGCATCAGCTCTTTTAGTCCCTGACCCACTTTGCTTCAGACCTCGACCCCCTTTTGTTTTTCTTTATTTGGATTTTATAACCAAGTCTTGGACTTTCCCTTTAATGCTAGCTAGTGAACCCATAAGTCACTGCCTCTGGTAATTACCTCTTAGGATCGCCCACTCCAACTGTGCCCTAGTGCCAATCCCAGGCCTGGGGATACTGCTAGCCACCTATCCCCTGACAGAGGGACAAGGAGATGCCACCTTATGGGAATGCCACCACCAACTCTGTCTAGGCTGACCTGCAGACTCAATAAAAGCACACAAAGATCTTAGCTTTGGCATTATTACATCTTTTCCGGTGCATCACTCCCTACATTTTGCATCTTCTCACTAGTATTGCAAGTGCCCAGTGTCCTCACGGTGCTTCCTTGCTTTCATTTTCCCCAACCAACGTTTTCTGAACAATGTCCAATGGTTCCAGACTTTTCCAACTTCCTTTTTGAGTTTCTGATCCCCATATAAATAAATGTCTCTTCCTCCCAGGTATTCAATTTCTGCCAAGAAATGTTGGCTAATCTATAAGTCTCTATCTCAGCAAATTGTAAATAAAATAAAACTTTAAGACAATAGATTGAAGTCTCTGCCATTAAGAGCTCAAGGTGTAGCGGCCTGCAGCACACATGGAACTGAAGGGCACTTTTCCTGCTTGAAGTGACTTCTGATGCACATGCTTGAGTAGCTGCTGGAGATGATGCTTTATGGAAATAGCTAAGAGAATAATTTTCATTCTGGACAAAACTTTGAGAATTCTCAGAAATTTGGGGAAAGAATTTGAATATGGCTTGAACTCCCTCAGAGCAGGAGGAAGCTGATCCTATGTTTACTGGTAGTGGTATCTGTGAAAAATAGGTTTTAATAGTATTATCAGCAAAACCTGGATAGAGATTCAAGAGCAAGTGAGAAAATTTTAAATGTACTCTCTATCTTTCTTTTAGCACTTATTACAGTACCTGACACATAGCAGGAGCTCAATTAATATTTGTTCACTGACTAACTGATTAGAGTTATTTATCTCTGAGGCCAAAAGAAATAGGATTAAACGTTTTAAGTGGGAAAAAAACTGACTCAAGGCTGAGGGAAACATTAAGACAAAGAGTATCAACAAAACCTGAGGAGTGAGATAAGAATAAAATTGCTTAGGTGAATTCACAAGAAGACGTCACCAGGTACTTCCCTAGAAGTAACCCAATTACTGTTAAAATTTATTCAGTTAAAGGTGAAATCTCCTTAAATTCTTTACTTTCCTTTTTCCATTTATACCAAGTTGTTTGATTTTTGTCTTCCCATGGGCAATACTTCAGAAGAACACCAGAGGGCGTTCCATTTTAACTGTTCGGACTCCCTCTAAAATCCAACCTCTTTTTCAGAGTAGCGAATTTCAATTGACAAATGCATCTAAGAACTATTCCACGAAGTAAAGTTAGGAGTAGTGTGCCTTGTAGAGAAGCTGTGGTGTAACTTTTATACTTCAGTATGAATATTTTATTTTATGCAAACCTGCGTAAATACTGAGGATTATTCCAAGTCTAAACAAGGGGGTGAGTACAAATCACAAGATTCTGAAGAGTAAGTATTTAAAGCTTTAGAAAACTGCAGTTGGCTTTATACTGGGACAGCTTCCCTGCTGGAAATAGGCTTCTGTCCTGAAACTGGCTACTTGATAACTGTGATGTTGTTATGAAGATCTAGGAAAAACAATAGTTCTCAGGAAAAGAATTACAGGAAACAGATATGTTGCTATATGAAAACAAGTGTGCATATATGTATGTGCATGTGTACGTGTAAGTATGTGTGTTTTGTATGTCTATTTGTACCAATTATGAGCCCCTATAAAACTATGATCATTCTTTCAAATATTAATGTTATAGATATTGTTTCGTCATTCTTTGACTACTGATTTACAGTAGTTTCACTGAGAAGCAGGGATGAGGACTTTGGTGACCCATAGTTGCCCCTGCAGGGTGTGTCATACATGGGTCATGGGACATGTGTTGTCCTGGGGAAGATGTTCCAACCCAGCTCCCGTCAACGTGGTGATCTCAGCTCTCCCTTAATTAACCCTGGCAGTGTTACCCTAACTCTAGCACACTGGATTTAATTATGAGAAGTCTTCGAAATGTTCATGAAAAGATACATATTATCTTTTAATTCTGTTTTTCCATGAACTTTTTGAAGTACCCTTTTAGGCTCATGTAGATGAAACTTTGTCAAAAAGTACCAGAAATTACGCACTTTAAAGCAAACATCCAATTCTTAATGAAAGTGTATTTTTCCCTGGTATTTCAGCAATGATGAAACTGACTTTGGGGGAGCAGTTGAAGTATTATTTACTATTTTTTAAAAATTCTAGCCTTCTTGTAACCACCTCACAGAAAGGTATGGGCCCTAATGGCCTTAAAATCTCTGGAAGATAAACTAAGATCATCACCTTCTTTCCCAGACCCCAAAGCTTTTTATTTTTCTGTGAAGCTACAGTTAATATTCAGAAATTATTCTGTGACTTGTGAAATACAATTGACTCAAAGTGTACACGTACGTAGTTGAAGAGATTTTAACCTATAAATGAAGATCTCTCAAGCCTCAAAACATTTTAGATAATTTTAAAACATTTTAAAAAGTCAGAAAATAATTTGTTGAATTCAAATAGTCCAAGATTACTAGTTACTACTGATATTAGCAAAACCACTGGGATCAACTAGATTAAATCTATAAAAACCTGATATAGGGAGTAGTATGTTCATAAGTTCTACAGGTGACAAGCTACAAATATTACACCTGGAGCACATCAATATTTAACACCTTGTAAGCTAAATTATCAAAACTGCTGCTTCAAAAATTAACTGTATTTGGGATATCATGGTAGAGACCACATTTTTATTTATCCAGAAGATTAGAGATTTGACACTTGCTCAATTTCTATTCAAGTGCATATTTCTTATGATCCAACCTTCTAGAACCTTATTTTCCTGATCTAAACCAAGTTAGAGAAAATATTATTAGATAACAAACATGAAAATGTACTCAATTTTATTACCAAAAAGAAATGTAAATTATAGCATATTATATAAGAAAAAATAAAAATAAGGAATTATTTGGAAATGAATGAAATATCCAGTTTTAATGAGGATGTGATAAACTAGTATATTCATACATTGCTCATTTTAATTAATATTACAGCTGTCATATTGAAAAGCAATTTTTTTAGTGCAGTTCAAAGACAAGATTCATTCATTCAGAGAATAAAAAAATAATTACTAAGCACCTCCAATATACTGACTTAAGGGCTGGGTATACAATAGCTAGCCTAAAGTGACACACCAGCCTTGTCTTGCTTGCTGTTTGGTATTACTTTAAATTGAAAGGAAGCAGTTGTAGATGCATGGCTATTCTCTGATGTTCTCTGAACATAATCTAAACGCCCAGCAATTAGAGGGGCAAAAATTAAATCTTCGCTTATTAATATTCTTTTAAACTATACAAGTATAACCATTAGAATGAAAATTATGAATAAAGCAGTTAGAAAGATGTTCCTGACATAATATTTGCTGAATAAAAAATAGGAATTTATAATGTATCATGAATACAAAAAATAATATGCATGGAAAAAGTCTGGAAAGGAACATCAGAATGAAAGAATGAGATGAATTCACTATTTTAGATCATGTTCCCCATTATTTTTTGTCACAATCGTTTCACATATAATTTAAAAGCATTAATAACTGAGGAAAAGAGCATCTTTTTCATAATGGACATCATAAAATTTGCTGTGCCTCTCTCACACAATTATAAAAATCTCATGTGTTTTCCAAACTATATTTCATGAGCATTCTATCTAGTTTTTTAAAATTAAATTTTGATTATTTTTTTGGAAATTATTTAACCTATGAGATCTTTTTTGCTGCTTGCATTAATCTAAGCGTACTTTATATTTCATATTTTTCTATTATACCTGTACTTGATATTAAATATTCTGGAGTCAAATGAGTTTGGAAAGGCCAAGCTAATAGATGTAAAATACTTGGAAACCTGTAAAATGCTTTGTAAAGGAAAGATTTTATTATGCGGTGAATGGTTCCTTGAATCATCTTGTTTTTCTTTGTTTTTACTAAGAGGATTGTTTTAATAAGATTTTTAACTTGAAAACATCTTACTTCTATTCCTTCTCTTTATGAGTAAGAAAGATTGACTTCCCCAAAGGAATGTGAAGACATAGTTGGTTTATTGTGTTTAAAACAGACATAGGGAGAGCTGATAAAGCAAGCCTTACGTAATGAGAACAGTGTGCAGTGACATGGCCCAGGATGATCTGCACACATCACACACCGCAATGTGGCCTGAACCTAGAAGCACAGGAAAAGCCATTTTCCTGCAATTCTCCAGCAAAGACAGAACATCTGAAATTAGAAAGATGTGTGAGGTGGAGGTAACAGTGGGACTGGGCAGCCCCTGTGTTCAGCATTTGAGAACAGGAGATAGGAATTTCAGTTCAAAGGATGATAAAAGTTTTGCTTTCTATGGTTCCCACTTGTGTTGTGTTTGTTTTGCTACTTCTTTTTCCCTACAAGAACAGCAATAAAAGGTTTAGGCTGTAGGCTACTAAGGAAGTGGGCAGAGGTGATACTGTGTCCCACTTGGCGTGAATCCCCAGGGCAAGTGCCGATGAGGAGGCACGAGCAGGTGAAAGAACAAAGACCTGGACCTGGAGAAAGATCAGAGAGAACCGCAGGAGGCTACATGGGTCCCCCTTTCCAACCGTGGTTTTTACGTTTTGTCCTTGTCTCTTTGGGTCAGCTAGATTCACCATATAATGTTGAATGAAAGCAGGCAACTTTGTCTTGATGTGAACTTAAAGTGAGTGCTTTAAATATTTTACTAAGATATGTGATCTTGCTAGGTTTTTGGTACCCCTTTGTCATATCATGGAAGTAGCCTACAACTCCTTCTTTGCTAGGAGTTTAAATAGCTAATGAAATTGGGTAATATCAGGAGCCTTTCCTGCCTCTGAGATGATTGTATCATATTTTGTCTTTTTAATCTGTTACTATGTAGATTATTTTCCTTTTGTCCTGAAGTATTTTGTGTAATACTTCAGGCATACAAACAAGTATAAAAATGTGTGTGGCCACCACCCAACTTAAGAAATAAATATTTGCCATTAGAAGTCATGTGTGTACTTCTACTCGATCAAATCTTCCTCTTTTTTTAAAGATTATTGATCCCTTGTTTTGAAGTTTATCATTGTCAACCATTTCTTTACACTTTTACTGATTAGAATATATGTACTGTATGACACACACACACCCTACATGATCTATAGTATAGTTTTGCATGTTTTTACGCATTATAGAAGTGTCATGCTGTGTGCTGTTCTCACTCAACATTATGTTTGTGAAGTTTATTCACTCATTCATTCGTTTTCACTGCTATGTAGAAAGTCATTAAATGTGTATAACAGTTTATTATTCATTCTTGTTTTGTTCAATATTAAAGTTTTTCCCACTTTCTTTTCATGTAAACATTACTATTTTGAACAATTTTATTTATGTTTCTTTATATACATGAGTCATAATTTCTCTGTGTATATTCGTAGGCATGGAATTTCTCAGTCCTAAGGTGTATGTATTTTACGCTATTAAATTTTGCTAAAACATTTCTCCAAAATGATTTTTAAAAACCACACTTCAACCAGAAATGAATAGTTTTAATGTATTTATACAGACTCCATGACAATAGGTATCAAAGTTTTTCTCCAAGATTGATGACTCTGCAATCACATATAATTTTGATTTTCCCTTACATATTCCAATGAACATGTTGTGTATTAGCTGTTTACTGCCCTCTTCTTTCAATTTACCTGTTCATATTTATGTTCGTATTTGCCCATCAGATTGTCCTTTATTGCTTGATTATTAGATTATGGGTTATGCATAGCAACCTTTGTTATACATATGCATTAAGAATATCTTTTCCCCTTCTGTGAATTATATTTTTCTTTATCTATATGATTTTTTATAACACAAAAATTTTAAATTTTGATACAGTAAATTTTACCTTTTTACTATAATTAGTGATTTTTGTCTCATTTTAAAAATGATTTACATCCTAAATCATAAAGACATTCTCATGTATCTTTCATGCATTTTCTTTAAAAGTTTTATTTTTTTTTCTTTTTACAGTAGATCTTTAATGCATCTGGCATTTTGTGTGTTTGTGAGTGTTTTTGTGTGTGTATATGTATATGTGTGTGCATGTGAGAGAGATTCTTTTGCAACAATTATGTCAGTACCATTTTTTGAATAGTCATCCTTTTTCTACTAATCTGCAAAGATAGCTCACCAGAGAATGGTGTTGTCCATATTTCTTAATTTATTCACTCTAAGAAGTTTGTAGTGGTATTTCATTATGGTTTTAATTTGCATTTCCCTAATGGATAATGATTTGAACATATTTTCATGTGCCCAATTGCCATTTTAATATCTTCTCTAATAAAGTTCATGTCTTTTGCCAATTGTTAAATTGGTTTGATTTCTTTTTGATG